ATTATATCGAAGTAATTTGATGTAAATTTTCTACTAATTCGATTTAACAAGTTCAATTATTTACTAAGAAAAATTTAGATAAAATTGTTAAAATTAACAAAAATGTCACAGATAATATGAATGAGATACTGTACTAGAATTTTTGATTAATTGAAACATAATATCCAATATTCAAACCCCCGATTGCCAGATATTGGTAAAGTGGGCAATATTCGTTTTTGATGTTGACATTCCCTGTTGTGAACATTCCCTACTGTGTACAGATTTGGTCTGCATTAGGTCATACACAACTCAGAGCTTCGACAGTAGTTACTGAAACTCGTATACATAAAAAATATACTGTAATTAAGTTAGATTTTTTTAATATAAAAATTTTGGTATTTGTGGTATTGAGGGCCTTGATAATATGGGTAATTTGAGCACAGGGTAATTAGACATCCTATGTTAATTTGTTAACTTGTCAGGTGCAATTACCGTATTAACTTAATTTGCTTTAAGTGCATGTATTAAATATTATGTTATTCAATACAGTTGTATTTACAATTTATCATAGTTATTATATAAATAAAATTAACTTTTAGTATAGGTGATTACTAATTTCTTATATAAATTATTTTCATAAATATTTATTTTGTGAACTTATTCTTAATGTTAATAAAATGATTGTCGACTTTACTGTTATAGCATTAAGAAACTTCAAATAAAAATGTCATAATTTACTAGAATATGCTGTATTAATAATATCTTGATTCTAATATTAAATAAATATTAATTAACTAGTAAGTAAGTATTATATGTACTTATAAATTATTAACTTATAAGTTATAGTAAGTATTATAATTCTAATAACTAATAAGTGAGTAAGCTTGCATAATTATATTGTAAATATTTTTGCTTTATATTTCGTTTATTTTTATTATAAAGTACATTAATTTAATTATAAACTTTTAATTTTAATAAAATTTAATTAAATTTTTTACGTAAATCTAATTGAATAAAATTTTCTACAAAATATTATCACTTATTTTTACCAATTGACTTATAAGAAACTTAATTTCAACATAAAAATAATTATTTTTTAATTAACGTTAAACACCAACACTTTTTATACAACCAATAATTATTTCAAAAATACTTTCAATTGCTGTACAATCATATGCCGGGCCTTCACTAAACTTGGCGGGTCTGTAGGGGCCGACTCCAACATATCTTGACAATGGGACGTACCTTTGATAAGTATAGCCCGGGTGCTATTATTAATGTCATGGAGTACACCAATCACACGCCACGGATCTATTGAGCCGTTGATGAACACCGTGTTTGTGATATTAATATTGCGAATACCATAAGACCTGTTCGTGTTCTTCACATTCAGTCTTATGGTGTGTGCCGTGAATTTGGGCCCAAATATATCAGCGCATTGTTTGGCATACAGTTTAATGGGAATGTCATTACCAAATGGCTGTCCTTTTCGGAGGTCAGTCGTCTGAAACCATCCCAACTGATTGCACGACTCGTATAAATATTGTCTGTCTTTTAATATAGCGATATAAAAGATAATTTAAAATTCATATTTAATATACATATTAACAAAAATTGATCAAGATATACAATATTTACCTCCACTTGTGGAAGCCTGATCAGTCAGACCTGTTTGCTTCATCAACTCAATATTGTCATCGTATTCAAAGTCATTACATTGTGAACCACCTGAGAATAGATTGAAAACCCGGATATACCTGTCCAGTGGTCGTGAGTTGCCGTACGTGTTGGCCATTATGGAGCACATGGTGTCGATGGAGGGATAAAGACCTAAATTGTTGTATTGAACGGCACCCATAATATTGTTGGTCAACTGATCCATGAATTGATAGACATCGAGAGTGTCGGTGCCATTGAACGGGTCGCACAAATTGAACTGCTGTTGAATGGTATACCAACCCTCAGGACTTTTGAACTCCTCCTCCAATTCTTGTGTCGCTTCACTAATAATTCATTAGATTATACATTAATTACTTAATTAGTGAATAGATTACAGGATAGGGAATATAAATTGTAGAAACATTTAACTGTTTTAAGGAAATCCTAATACTAACCCAAAATATTGGGAACATTGGGTACCCAATGATTTGCTAACGGCTTTCAAATAGGTCTTAAAATCGTAGACAAACTCCATGGGCGCGCTCGAGGCTACAGCACCGGCTGTCTTATTTGGATACGTGGCCCTAACCAGTGCGGCTAATGTACCGCCATATGAACCCCCAAACACAACCCATTTACTGCCATTCAGTGAAAGATTTGTCGTTAAATAGTCGATGAAAGTCGCCACATCCCTGAGCACCTGATCGATGGTCAGGTAGCGGAGGTTAGAGACGGATAAGTTGGGTGTCGGCATAGACTGTCCATAATATCTGTGCTCAAGAGTTATGGCCAATGCGTTGAACTGTTGGGCGAAGTTTGTGCTCATTTGTGTAGTCATAAAGAGATTCGGGTCTAAAGCTTCTTCGTCGCCCATCAGTAGGAACACCGGTCCACCACTTCTATAGTAAGTATCGCTTATATAATACCTCTAAATCATATTAATTATAAAAAATATTTCTATATTATAATCAAATTTTCAAGAATAGTTAGTTACGGTCATAAAATGATATAATAGTTTATATTAAACCTGTTGAAAAGTTTTAGTATCCGATGAATTCAAGTGATCGACTTTTTGGTCAAACCATTGGTTTGCTGGTAATGTTGGCAGTAGATTATCTGGCTTAACAATGGGTGGCCTCACTATTCTATGTCTACCGATAAGACGTCCAGTGCCTTTCAATTTCGGGTAACTTTTTGGACCAATACTAATCCCATACACAAAATGACTTATTAATAGAAACAGAAAAATAGATTTCATCTGATATTTCATAGTAAGTTATTTATTATACTGTACAATTACTGTAATACAGGTACTAATTGATAAAATATGAGAAACTTATAAAGACTAATAAAATATTTATTGTACCGTATATTGTTTTTATAGTTAATAAATAAGCTACTGTAAGCTACTGTAGCTACTGTAAATAGCTACTGTAAGTATATGAATTTCATCTTACCGGTAATAACAATTATTGTACCGTATATTTATTGGCAATAAATTATTGCAATATTATACCTGTATAGAGAAATTGAGAAATAATTGAGAAATTCATTAACAACAGAATCGCATTCTGTATTTGCATTACTATACAATAAATGGTTTATGGGATTCACCAGAATTATAAATAAATATTTTTGTTAATTTATTCATAAGTGCAATACCAATGGAATATTAGCACTAATTTCACTTATTTTATTCAATATTATAAATTTAAATATACAGCAATAAATATAATAACAATTTGTCACTATATTAATATTTATAAGAATGAGTCAATTGTAATTAGGGTTGCATGGCGCGTAATTTTGCGTAATTTACAGCGTAAAATTACGTAATTTTACGCGTAATTTACGCTGTCAAAAATATTTTACGTAAAATTCAATTCGAGAAAAAATAAATAATATTGTTTATAATTTTGTTAATAAACGCCATTTGTTGTAGAATTCACACAAAAGACCAGAATCAATTGGATAATAAACGTGTGAAAAAATTAGTTGCTCATAATTTTCATTTCAATGAAAACATAGAATTAGTTCACGAAATATAAAAATATTTTTATTACTTTTGGCAATAAATTCAATTTATGTCATTAAAAATTGCCAAATGTCGGTATAATCACGGGATCAAGGTATAATCGATAACATTTAATGTGAAATCGATACAGGTGCCTAATGATAAATTAATTGCTTTGTTATTGCATTTTAAATAATGATGAAACATTATTTAAAACTACTATAATAAATGAAGGTTGTCATTTGAGTTCAAAAACAACTATAAATGATAAAGTTATTTTAGATTGAGCAATTAATCGATATGTGCAAAATGAATTTATTGTTTTAGGTTATTCGTTTCATAATTTCATATTGAGCTATTAATCGATTTATGCAAAATATTTTTTAATATTTCATATTGAGCTATTAATCGATTTATGCAAAATATTTTTTAATATTTCATATTGAGCTATTAATCGATATGTGCAAAATATTTTCATTATATTAGTTTATTCGTTTCATAAGTATTTTAATATTATGAGATATTTATTAAAAATTATAACTTAAAATATAGTGTAAACGAATTTTAAAATAAATATATAAAAAGTATTATTATTGCTGCTATAAAATATAGTAATTAATTATTTAAAATTTATTAAACCAAATCTTAACATGATTAATACAATTAAAAGCAAATATCTAGACATTAAGACTAATGCATTGGATATCATTGATAATTACATAGCGAGCCACAATGATCTTACAAATGAGATGAGCAGGGTCGACAAATACATCAAATACCAGTGTATAACCTTATCAAATAATTACAACGAGTTATGCACTGGCAACTATTCGCGTGGTAAACTCATCTGGCTAATTATTTTCCGAACCGCAATGTTTATTGCATTATGCGTTGGATTATTAGTTGGTTTTGGAGATCGCCCTGTTATCCGTGAATTAACCCTAAATATTGCCGATTACTTTGGCGATAGGACAATATTTGGGACCATGTTTAGCATTTTCGTGTTATCATGCATATTAATTGACACAACTATTTTGTACCATGAACGTACCGGGAAGTTGCACGCTGCAAAGCTTTTACACCAAGTAAAGTGTAATCTCAACAAATACCCATTGAACAACTATAAACGCAGTATAATTGGCATAAGATTCAACATGGTGAAAATAATTTGCGTAATAGGTTACGCATCGGCTATGGTAGTAATATCTGTCGTAATTATAGCATTTATTACAATCGAGTTGTACGGAAATTTTAGCATGATAAAATGTCTAAGCGCGATTATAGCGTATCCAGTCGCAATTCTTGTATGCCTTCAATTTGTTGAGATTCCATTCATGGTGTTACCTGTTATTTATATAGGTGTTGCCTATTTAATATATAAATTTATCGATATAAACCATAGCATACATTTGAGTATCATAAGAAATAACCCACACAAATTAATGATGGCCATAGTTGAACATAATTATTATGCGTGTCGGGTACATGACATAAATGGGACAGTATGTTTACTTATTTTCATCATATATTATATCTACTCATTTGTGATTGAATTATGCATTTATTCCGCACATAAACACAATACAACACTTATTATTATGCGTGTCGGGTACATGACATAAATGGGACAGTATGTTTACTTATTTTCATCATATATTATATCTACTCATTTGTGATTGAATTATGCATTTATTCCGCACATAAACACAATACAACACTGATTGCCAGGTTATACGTGATAACGACCATAATAGCTATTTATTTGGCAATATTTGCATTTGGTTTAGTGCTGGTATTGATACCAAAGTTAGCCCATAGACCCTACCGATTATTGCTGTCATATATGTCCCAAACACCTGTCCTATCGTTGAGGGAAAGGCTAAAAGTGATGGCATTTATGGAGCGATTATCCCCTAATGAACCGCAGATTGGTTTCTATTGTTATGATTTGTTTGCAATGAATAGCTATGAAATATATAACTTATTAATAGTTATTGCCGCTAACTATATGCTATTAACGAGTATTTTCTAAATTATTTGAATCAATTTGAATTCATATTATTTATGAATTGATATAAAATAGTTATTCATTTGTTTGTTAATAGTCTGATTTATATAGATAAAATAGATAACTAGATAACAATAGATAAGTGTTGATAAAATAGATAACAATTTATATTTCATTTAAAAGTCATTTGTTTGCCTTAAATGCAGTTAATATACATTTATCTAACTATGAGAAAACCTATTGTGTCTATCATTTAAGTTGTGAATTAAGTTTTGTTTCATTTATTATTTGATATTTTTGTTATAAATTAATGCGTTTTCTATTGAATTGAGTGTTGTTTTAGTCGCAAATATTTGGATGTTTTTGTTAATCTATTTAACATGTTGTTTATAACTCAAGTTTCTATGGTCTATAAGTTGCGGGTTGGGAGTAGGGAACCGTATATATGAAAGTGAAGCTCTAAAATAACAATTACATAAATGTAACAATTTCAATTTATGTTATTTTCATAAATATTTATTTTGTACACTCATTCTTATATGTTAATAAAATGATTGTCGACTTTACTGTTATAGCATTAAGAAACTTCAAATAAAAATGTCATCATTTACTAGAATATACTGTATTAATAATATCTTGATTCTAATATTAAATGAATATTAATTAACTAGTAAGTATTATATGTACTTATAAATCTAGATTAACTTATAAGTTATAGTAAGTATTATAATTCTAATAACTAATAAGTGAGTAAGTTTTCATAATTAGACATATATTGTAAATATTTTTGCTTTATATTTCATTTATTTTTATTATAAAGTACATTAATTTAATTATAAACTTTTAATTTTAATTAAATTACATTTAAATTTTTACGTAAATCTAATTGAATAAAATTTTCTACAAAATATTATCACTTATTTTTACCAATTGACTTATAAGAAACTTAATTTCAACATAAAAATAATTATTTTTTAATTAGCGTTAAACACCAACACTTTTTATACAACCAATAATTATTTCAAAAATACTTTCAATTGCTGTACAATCTTATGCCGGGCCTTCACTAGACTGGGCGGGTCTGTAGGGGCCGACTCCAACATATCTTCACAATGGGACGTACCTTTGATAAGTATAGCCCGGGTGCTATTATTAATGTCATGGAGTACACCAATCACACGCCACGGATCTATTGAGCCGTTGATGAACACAGTGTTTGTGATATTAATATTGTGAATACCATAAGACCTGTTCGTGTTCTTCACATTCAGTCTTATGGTGTGTGCCGTGAATTTGGGCCCAAATATATCAGCGCATTGTTTGGCATACAGTTTAATGGGAATGTCATTACCAAATGGTTGTCCTTTTCGGAGGTCAGTCGTCTGAAACCATCCCAACTGATTGCACGACTCGTATAAAT